TTTTTTTTTTTTTTTTTTTTTTTTAAATAGGCTGCTTATGGCCCAGCTGATGAACAGAAACGTATGCAGTGAACATGGTAATTCTTCATGAGTTCCCTTGGAGACTAAAGTTAGAGACCATGACTCACCCCAGGATGCTGAGGCATACTTTGCCATTGCGGTAGAAGTTGGGATTGAAACGGACAGTGTTGTGCCCAGTGGTGATGAGCTTGACCCGTGGTGGATGAATTGGATAGTCAGGGGGACAGCGGAACAGGAAGAGGAAGAAGCCACCCTCATATGGCGTGTCAAATGGCCCTGTGATCAGGGCATGGATCTGAAGTCATGAGGCACAGGAGTGGGATTAAAGGATGAGAGAAAGACAGGATGGGGATTGATAAGGTGGTCTAAAACGATGTCTATAGGCAGAGAGGAATGCTAGGAAAGAACAGACCAATTAGCAAAGAAATTTAATCTAGAAAACAAATGACTCGTGCTGAGTCATTATCAATTTTTTTGACTCTGATCTAAAGGTTTTTCTCCATTAGTAAATGGTTGCTGTCAGCACCGGTACAACTCCAGTTGAATGGAAAACACCACTGAGGTAGTCACAGTTTAAAGGACTCTTCACTTCGCTGTTTTGCACTTTTTACAGCTATACCACTTCTTTCATTTTTTATTTTTTTATATACAGCGCCAAATCACAACAACAGTCGTCTCAATGTGCTTTCAGTACTCCAGAGGAAGTCCAGTGCTGATCCTGATTTCCATCAAGCCCAGGAATAAGAAGCCTAGTGAAATCTGATTGGCTATCAAGTTAACATGTTAATGATGTCAAAGGTTGGTAAATCTTTCAGACTGTACTTTGCCTTTTACCTTGGTCATGTCCTGAGGATCAGGGACCACGAACATCCCTGGTGGAGGTTCCTTGTAGATGGACATGATATCCCTACAGACAAAATAAACAGATGAGGTTTGTGAAACACTGAAAACTGGAGAGAGAACCCACAAAGAAATATGCCCCTAAACATTCCAGCAATCCACTAGTAAAACAGTATGTCCTGGAGGTGAAGGATCTTAATATTTTCAGAAATCTATTATAAAAAATACATTTAAGTACAGTACTGAACTCTAAAGTTGCTCTAATGTGAATTTTTCGAACATACTAACGCAGTCATTAAAAAAAAAACAACCAAAAAACTACCATAGTCAAGTTGGCAATTACATGCAGTGTGTTTCTGATAATACAGCAATTAACAGCGATAAACTGCATCATACAACCAGCTGAGTCGAGTCCTCTCGACTTGTAACAAAGACTCATTCAGACTGATACCAACATGTTGGCAATCTGTTTGCATTTATATATTAGACAGGAATTATTTACCAGAGTTGTCATGATACTAGAATTTCCAGAAAAAGACTCAAAGGAAACAAGAATGTTCAAGCTATCCAGCTGCTTAAACAGGTAAATTAAGTGAAATAGTACATTTCATTAATTTGGGTCAAGTGATTCCTCAATAACTTTATTTTTTGTTTATTAAGCAACTAATTAATGACATGTTAAAAATCAAAGAAGTGTGTTCATGTATGTGTGGGTCAAACTAAAGCAACATCTTTAAACATAGGCTGAGTGCACTACCGTCTAAAATACTGCTCAAAGGGATTTCAACATACCCAGGGTATCTCTCAGTTTTCTGGATTTGTTTACCGTAAGATTGGTAATCGCAACAAGCCGTCTCAAAAATCAGGTTATCAACTTGCAAAGTTAAGCCAAGGTTTTCCCTGCATGTTTGTGTAAACCAGGTGGTGTTGGCAACATCTTATCTAAAACAGGAGATTCAAAGGCCATATGACTCTTATTCCACAGAAAACAATCCCTATAAATGCCACCAATTCAATCAACAATATTATTAGATGATGATAAAATTGTGATAACAAAAATATATAAAAAGCATTGAAATTATACCAGTAACCAACAACTGCGAAGAAGACACATGGTTAATGCTGCAGAAAATTATTAATCTGGTTATTTAACACACAAAGCCCTATAAATAAACTTTTAAATTACAGTTAATTATTTATCACTGAGTGCACTCTCAGTGCTGGTGTTTATTTCTGAGGTGATGGCTACACATTAGAGCTCTGAAACTTTGAACTAGTCCCACTTAAAAACCCAGGCTTAGTTTAAAACGGCAAAACATGCCACAAATAAAAGACTGAGTGAAAATGTGGTGGTTTCAGAAAGTTTTAGTTTTTATTCTTTCAGCTACAGACACAGGGGTGTTGAAGGGTTTGAAGCAGAGCAGTTTAAGTAGTGTTAAGATCATTAATCCTTCTAGAACAATAAAATTGCTGTAAAACTCTCTGCTTCTAACATAAAAAAATAAAATAAAACCATGGAATAAAGCTGTATCTAAGAATCTATATTTATTACTGATGCTCATCAGTGAAAGCCAAAGACTTTACACGCTATTAAAACAAAACAACAACTTCAGACCCTCTGTGTGACCTTCTAGGGAATGGTCAATTTTCTCGATAACAGATTCCTCAGAAGGCAACGATTTAACACCGGCTGGTCTCTAATCTCGAACTTGACCTGCTCTGGGGGAGGTTAAATTCACATCATAAATTACCATGGCGACAAATTCTGGTACGAAGTTAACCCGAAAACAGATAGTGAACAGAAGAGCCAAGGTTAACCCTGTAGTTACCTGGGTCAGACGAAATCTCGCTTCTTATTACAGACCTCTAGTTTCCCAAATGTCTCCGTCAAATGTGACGTTTTAGATGCTGTTAAAAACTTTACGGAAAGATTTCACTTTCGATTGCAGGTCTAGATTACGTAAATATGCCCACCTCCGTCAGAGTTCTGTGTTTCCTAGAATTACCTCTTTATCCTCAGGATGCACTGCTGGGAAGCTTTTTCGTTGTCCCAATCCGTGCTAAGAGTTGGGTCCCAGGAAGTGGCATTGATTTGAGATAGGAGGCCCGCTCCTGCCGCCCCTAGCCCAACACCGGGGAGAGGCGAGGAGGCATGCAATGTGGGAGACACGGCCACGACTGGTGGTGAAGAGCCGGGAGTCAATGTGTTCCCAAAACTGACCGGGGTAGCAGTGACAGCGGACATAGGGGCCACCACAGCTGTTAGGCCACTCTGCGCGGCGACAGCAAGAGGCGGAGAGGTCGGGTTGGAGCTGGAGTGCACACCGCCAGTTGCCGACATTCCCACCGGCAGAGAGTTAGACAAAATCGGAAGCTGTGAGGCTCCGCTCCCCTGTCCCGTAGTAACGTCTAAGCCTAGGGCACTGCTGCTGGACTCATCTCCAAAGCTGTCCGCCATGGCCCACAAGCTAACAAGCTACAGTAAACCCGTTGGTGTTGAGTAATTTATATTTTTCTCCCGCGCAGCATTGACAGTAGAGTTTCAAGTTACCTGCTTCCTTTGTTGCCCAACGCAGATCAGACAGCAAAGAAACCGGGCAGAGGCGAGGCCAGAAAGCAAGGCAATTCTTCCCAAGACATAATGGATATTTATCGTTAGCTTGACTGTTAGCTTTACCCCCAGGCCTCCAAAAAACTGCTCGGTCTTCAGCAAAATTGCCACGTCACAGTGTTACGGTTACCACTGCCCTCTGGATACTGGTTCAAACCATTAAATCCCCAGAACATTTGGTTTATTACCAACCATATCCCTACTAGTCTTTTACCATCGCAACTTTAGGAGCTTGTATTTGTCACCAGTTAAGAACACGGAAATAATAAAGCCACGGCACATCCGGGCAAACGTTTTCAAAGTAAAATTCCTGAAAACAATAATAAAAAAAAACAACAACAACCCACCATCATTTCAGCTTTTGCAGCTAGCGTTTAAGCAAGGCCCAGCTCAAAACTTCCAAAACAATGGGAAGTTATTGTGCCCTCACAATCAACTGACCGCGGTAAAGTGAGCCGTCATTTGTGAGCCGCGGTCAAGCCAGCCGCCTCCTATCCG